AATTACAGTCAGCTGGCAGTCAGCAGAAGTAGCCTGCAGCACTGCATTCTAACCACTGCGCCACCGCGGCTCTTCAATATATTATTGCACAAACATCTGCTCCACCTTTTCTCTTTTGGTGCATCAAAAATCACAGGGAGTGACACTAACGGCAGCCATTGGTGGAGCAGACATGCCTGTGGTCATCACTGTGCTGAATAGCTACTCTGGATGGGCTTTGTGCGCAGAAGGGTTCCTTCTCAACAACAACTTGATGACAATCGTTGGAGCTTTGATTGGCTCTTCTGGAGCTATCCTGTCTTACATCATGTGTGTGGTAAGGTTAGGTCCTCTGGTGGGTTCCATTGCATTTTTTTTTTCATGGAAACAATACGTGTTTCTTCAGTGGATCCTCTTTTGTGGATCTCCCATTTTGTTAATCATAACAGATTTCAGGAGGACCTATTGTGGCAACCATATTCCAGCCTTGCCTGGATATTTCCAGATATTTTACGTGTCCTCCAAGTAGTTTGCAACTCTCAAAATTCTTGGGACCCCAATTCACACCCAGTTATTGGAATTGCAGTTCCATACATGAAAGCCCTACCAGGCTGGGAAGGGTCCTGTAGAAAGTTGGCAGATGTTGCCGCTCATTTAAAAAGCTTAAAGGATTAACTGTTAACAGACATTCGCTTCAAAATAGTTCATTTTCTTTATTTCCGGCTAAGCATTATAATGATATAATAAACATTGAAACCATATTTCAGAATGAAAGCAGGGTATTAAATTCTGGGATTGCAAGCTATGTTGTGAATTGGAGCTGTCATATACATTACATCTGTACAGAGTAAAGCATGCTTAAAGTAGTTTCCTGCTTTATATTCATTGGAATCTTTCATTGACGGGAACCTTTGGGTTAATGTATGGTTTATGGTTGGCCAGGCTATGAATCGTTCTTTACCAAATGTCATTTTGGGTGGATATGGTACAACGTCTACAGCTGGAGGAAAGCCCATGGAAGTGGTTGGAACACATACAGAAGTTGGGCTTGACCAAGCCATTGAAATGATCAAAGAAGCAAACTCTATCATCATTACACCAGGTAAGAGTGAACAATTAACCAAAAACGGAGTTCTACATGAGCTACCTAGGCTTTGTTTGGTTTTGACCGTTCTGCGAACCTCAGCAATGGTACTTCTCCAACTCTGGAGAATGTAGACTAGGAAAAAATGGGAAAGAATGAAAATAATCATATATCTGGGCCTCTTGTCTTATTATCTTTTGACTCCTGAGGTTCTATTTCAAATGAGTGATTTTATTGTCCTTAATTGCAGATACTGAATCATGTTTTAGGTGGCCCCTGCTTTGGGTGGGTCCACCATCATTGTCTTCTATGCCAATCCTGTTTTTTCTTACACTCAAACAGATTAAACCTTTCACTGTAGCAGAACTGGGGTGGCAATTCACACGTTTTGAATGAACCTCAGTAAATCCTGATCAGGCCTACTTTTTAGGATTCACATGTCAATCATATGAGTTAGTCCAGACAAGGAGCACGCACAGAGGTACTATCTCAGTCTTAATTGTAAGATTACACTAACAGACTCTTGAAAGTCTGAAAGTGCATCTCTCCATCCTCACTTTTACAATCGAAAGAAACTAGAAAGAGTCCCTTCTGAGATGTTTCCTACATGATCAACTGCTTCATAACGGATTGTTGCTTAGTCCGTGGCTGTTTTGCCTTTCTCCCAAGGTCATTCTCATATACCATTACCTCACATCAGTCTTGCAACTAAGTCTGTGTCCCCTTTCCTTTCTTCCTATCCAGAGTTGGGTTGCACCCGGTTTGGCCCGGATTGGGCGAACTGGTAGTAGCGGGGCGGGAGGCTCCACCCACCTGCCCGGATGCTTCTGAGCATGCCCAGAAGCATTGTGTGAGTGAGTGCGTAGGCATGAGTGAACCGGTAGTAAAAAAAAATAGAAACCCACCACAATTCCTATCCCCTGTGGAGTAAATAACTGATGGTGGGACTATGTCTAGTTTAGTGAAAGGAAGGACAAGGGGTGACATGATAGCAATATTCCAAAATTTGAGAGGCTGCCACAAAGGAGAGGGCTCAAGCTATTCTCCAAATTACCTGAAAGCAGGACAAGAAACAAGGGATGGAAACTAATCAAGGGGCAGACCAACCTAGAACTAAGGAAAATTTCCTGACAGAACAATTAATCAGTGGAACAGCTTGCCTCCAGAAATTGTGAATGCTCCAACACTGGAAGTTTTTAAGAAGATGTTGGATAACCATTTATCTGAAATAGTATAGGGTTTCCTGTCTAGGCAGGGTTCGACTAGAAGACCTCCAAGGTCCCTTCCAACTCTGTTATTCTGTCTGCTCTAATGCTCTTCGTAACACTTTCCTGGCCATAATGCACGTTTCTCCTGTACTCGGTGTTCCCCTAACAGCCTCTGGATTCACTCTCCATGTTCTAATAGAGTTTCCCCCCCTTATTTTAGGTTGGGGTTTATGTGCAGCTAAAGCTCAATACCCCATTGCTGACATGGTGAAAATGCTGAACGAACAAGGAAAAAAAGTCAGGCAAGTAAACACCATTGTTGATATAAACAAATTACACTGCTTTGTACTAACATATTTTGATTTAATGATGGACTATGTATATATATGGTATAGTCATATACCATTACTTCATATCAGTCTTGCAACTAAGTCTCTGTCCCTTTTCCCTTCTTCCTATCCAGAGTTGGGTTGTAGATTATATATGTATGTATGTATG